TCATTTTAACTATTTTTGGTTTATAGGTCTGTTTGACAAAGATAAATTTTATAGCCTGGAGCTAGTGGAGTGTTAACAGCAGGAACTAGGTATAGCTGTGAACCCAACACCTGGTGTACCCATGTGTTTTAGATAGATGTTTCATTCTGTATTGTCTAAGAGAGACTGGAAACTGGTGGGTTCGAAATTAATCGGTTATCAATAGATTATCTACATCACTAGCATTCGGGCAGAACTAATGATGCATCATCTGTACTTAGAGTCAAAATAAAAATTACACACTAGCAGTTCCTGCCTTTTGATGTTCTATTCTTTTGATATTAATTGCTAGATGTGATTAAATGACAACCAAGGGCTCAAAACTTTTGATAAGAGCTAATTGAGATTATCGTAGTGATAACTGCCTGTGATGACGATTAGAAAAAATTTTGATTAGTGTCTTTTAATATTTGTACCATTTCAGATGATAAGCTAGATCTAAATGATTTGGTATAGATCATTACAAAAAGTTTTGATATATTTTAAAATTACAATCCTGTTTTTAAAAATGTACTTTTTTGTAATGTTTCTTTGCATTTAGACATTTTAGTGTAAATAAACTTTATGCTCTGCTGATTTAAAAAAATTTTTAATATCTTTAAAATCATTAGATGATTGATTTTTAAATCTATAAATGTTCACACTAGTAAATTTAAGTTACATAATTAATTGCTAATATAAGAATAATTCACATAGTTTTGTAACAACAAAAAACTATTGTTACAGATATCTGTATCATGAGTATAAAAAGATTTTAAGAGCTTTTGTTTGTGGTTTTTATGTCTATATTATTACATATATTTTTTGTAATGAGTTGTCATATAAATCTTTCCTAGGTTTAAAATAGAATTTTATTGATTTTCTAGCAATGTAAAGTTACAACAACATTAATTAAAATGCTAATTTGCTGAATGCATTGTTGGAAATTGGGTGTGACTTTTTCTGATTTTGATATTTAAATAGAATTTTTTGTTTTTTGCTTTGAGATATGCTTAATGTATATAGTGTGTAATATTTTATGAGTAAGCTACCAGATGTTCTTTCATATTCTTGCTAAAAAAATTGCACCATCTGGCTTCTAATGATGTGTGTTTTATCAATATTTGCATCGATTCAAATAATTATTTTCTAATTTGTCATATAATGTTTTGGAATTTTTTTTTCATTGATGGATGAAATTATGTATATAAATAAGTCCAATTATGGTGCCATTGACATTAATAAATCATTTTAAAATAAGAATTTATCAAAGTTTATTTTTATATAGAAAAAAATTTTAGTCACTAATGATTAGATGAAATTTCTGGATCTTGAGAAAATGACTGCCAAATGCATTAAGAAAGTAATTGGAGCATATCCTAAAAAATATTCCCTGTTGAAAATTTTCACACTTTTTTATTATAAAATATTTTTTATATAATTATGTTGTTCTATAGTTTTAGTATGTTTATTTTATAGGATAAATTGTTTAAAGATTTGATCACTTAATATTTCTTGTAAAACAATTTTTTTTTTTTCTTGTAGATGATATTTTATTTCAAAAACTTATGAATTTATGTTTAAGTTTAAAGATAAGTTTGTTTTTATTGGTGTTTATATTAAATTGTTTCTATGATCATTTTTTATGTTTGACTTTGTACAGTATTTAAAAAGATTATTTTTTTTTTCTGTGATGTTTATGCTTCAAATATTCTAAATAAGTATTTCTAATTAAGTATAAACTCCTTATAATTTTCATGTTATGTTGGAATATGTCGACTTTATAACAGGTTTAATTAATTTTTACTTTCAGTTTAAACATAGTTTTTAATATTACACAATTTTATCACAGTTTTTATTAAGCAATAAAAATATTTGCTGCTATCTGTTTATTTCAGACATTGTAAAATTGCTCTAGAATTTTAAAACATTTTAAATGTATGTACTGTATTAATGATGGAAAATTGTGCTTTTCAAGAGATTAAAATAACAGGAATATTCTGTTACTCTATCACAGTTCCCAACAATTTATTATCATATAATGTGAATTTGGTTGTCAAATTGTCTTATAAATACTTTAGTCCTTGTTAACAATAGGGTCATTGTTTCTGCTGTTGACTAACCTAATGTCTGATTTGTCCTACTCAAAGGTCAGTCTCAATCTTTTGTCTTGCTCAAAGCTGTTTAAGATGGTTTGGTGAAAAAAATAATACCAGCAAAATACAGATTTTGTGAGAAAAATAAAATAATTTCAAATATCTTATAAATTTTTGGCCGCTGATTTTAAAACTTTTAATTTTTTTTATAATGTACAATGTAAACCATAATTTTTTTTAATATGTTCCTTAGTCAAATATAAATTCTTGATCAAGAAGGATTTGACATCATTCCTTGATCATATTGATTTGATCAATTAGAAGTTAAACCATATACACTAAAAAATTAAATAAAATTGCAAGTAATATTGGAGTTTGTTTTCTATTGATGTAAAAAAAAAAAAAAACTTTCCGAAATTCCGAAACTAACCATCTAAAAGTATGATATAAAACAAATAATAGCTCATAAGTTAAGGGTTATTTTTAAAAATTTTAATTTTTATAGGTGAAACTTTTTTTTATTGCTATTTTTGCACTATTCAATTGACATTTAAATTTACAATAAAATAAATAAATAATAAATTACATGTTTTTAAAGACATATCATGCTGTGTAATAAGATTAATTATTCAAAGACTAACAACTGATTTTTATCAAAGTTTAATGAAATGAATTAGTTTATATCCAATTAAATATTTTATAATTGTTTGAACTTTTGTATGTTTGGTTCTGAGTAATGGTTATTTCTTTTCTCTATGCTATTTAGGCATAACAATAATATGAATATAGTACTTTTGTCAATTCATTGTTGTTCTAAATAAGATTTATGATAGTGCCCAGTTTAATAAATACCACTTTGCATTTTTTTTTATAACCTCTGAAGTTCCATTCATGATCTTTGGATTGTTGCACTTGAAGTTTGTTATAGATTCAACTGTATGATTTTAGTATCCTATTGTTTACTTTTTTGTTTTGTTTAAACTACCAAACTATATTACCTATGCTTTAAAAATTGAATGTAACCTCTTAAAGATCTATTTCCTGGTACTTGGTGTTTTATAGTTGGAAAAAATTATATAACGTTTGTAGGTTGTTGTCAGCATTCTATTGATAGATAAAATATTTATGTCAATCTAAACTATTTAAATATATTTTCCTCATTTTCTGCTTATTTTTTTTTATCCTTTTATATAGTTCTATTCACTTCTAATATAGTTTTTTATAGACAGAAAGACATGTGTATTAATTATTTAATACAGTATAAAATATTGAAACAATCCAATTTCATGTGATGCATGCATATTTATACTGTTTGTGCAGTATAAATATGCATGCATCTTTTTAATCTTCAGTATGTTTTTGACATAGAAAATCCCTTGTTTTTGTAAATTTACTAGCTTGATGAATTATATCTATAAAAATACATTGATGGTCAAGTTCTGTATGAAGATTAAATTTAAAGTCAATAGAAATTCAATTTTATTTAAGATTTTTCACTTAGCCTGATAGCAAAAGAAATCATTATCTTATGCAGAAGTTGATTTTATGGAGCAAGCAGATTATCATTAACTTTTAGTTGTCAATATGGATAACTTAAGTTACAGATGATTTAAGCAGACTTTATATAAGTTTTGATAACATTGAATTGCATAATTTATATAGTTATTGCTATCACAATTATTTTCATAGTTAGTGCTCTTTTTGCTTATAGATATATCAGATAAGGCATTATGTGGATAGGAAAGGACCTCTCTCTGGATTTGACCTATAGTGTTGGGATTTTGAATACTTGGCTCTGCATTCCAGATTTAATTGTTACTTTTTATGAATTGTATTTTTTAATTTCAAGATTATTTTGAATTTTTAGTATTACAAACTTTATTGCTTTAGAAACACATGTTAAAGTTATACAAATAAAACATTTTTATATAAAAATAACAAGCAGTTTGAATTTTATTTAAGGAATCAAAAGTAAGGATTTCTTAAAAGCATTTTTGAACTCTGATGACTAGCATATTAAGCTAAAGCAGATTTATCTGAAGCTTAAGTTTGTCATTTACTGTACAAATTTATTTAGGCATCTTTCTATTTTTATATTAGAAAATTAGTGATTAAAAACAAATATCAATTTTTTGTAACTGGTATATTAACAAACATTCTGACTATAGTATCTATATATGCATTTAGATAATAGTATTTTGCAATCACTTAATGTCTATTTTTTTAATGCTTACTAAGTTTATCATTTTCTTAATTTATGAGACAATTTTTATTCTTTCTTTGGACATTTTTTTCCCATCATACAATAAACTGAATTAGTTTTAACATTTGAACACCACATCTTATCTTAAATGTACTTTATTATAAGTTTTGAAAATGAAGTAATATAATTGCTGAAGCAAAAAGTAATGTTTGCAAAGTTTATTGAGAGAGGATATTACAAAGATTATGCTGTAAATAATTTGAAAGGTTTTATTGAAGCAATTTTAATGTAATCAATAAACTAAAAGTAGGATGACTACCTCTGAAGCTCTGTAAAACTGGAGAATATTTTGAGTCATGGTAATCACCACTTGCACTCTAATGATCATGTGGCCATGGTCACAGTATATTGGTCACTGGACAAACAGTTTTCCCCTTCCTCTTCACTCACTGAGGCTGGGTAAGCCCAAATGTGCAACAAAGGTGTGAAAACATATTAAGGGACCCAGGTGCATCTGGTAGGTGATGATGATTAACAAATCCCAACACAGCAAATCAAACTTGTTTTATATATTCATATGTTTTTATCTACAGAAGTATTATTTATGTGCATGTAGGAAAAAAAAAAGACAACTACTGCAAAGAATAGCGCACTAAAATTTTATTTATTATTTTATTTACTAGTGCCTTAAAGTCAATGCAACCCAAACAGATTATCATAAGACTAGAGTCCAAAGATGAGGTGTGAAAACCTGGAGAGGTGGTCACCTAAACTACAAGTAAGAGGACTTCTGTACAAAAACTGATTTACTAATAAATGTTTTTCAGTTAAAAAATATTTAAAAGTTCAGATGTTGCAATAACACTAATTATATTATTTGCATTTCTAATAAATGTATACAAGATCTTATTGTGCTAGCTGTCACATTTTACATATAAGCTTGTAAAGAAATGAAAATGAATTTATGTGCAGTGAATCATATGGATATTTGTTCATAAAGCACAAGAAAATTACCAGATAAATGAAGTAAAATTATTATAAATTAAATTTATAAAAATTATGTGAGTGATAATAAACAATACTGGAAATTAGTGAAAACAAATTGAATTGCTATCACTCGAATAGACATTCATTTATTTAAATTTTTTTAAAGTAAATTTTTGATGTTGCATAACCAAACATGTCAAGTATGAGAATAACCTCACAAGTTTTTGTAAATTTATCAGTTTTGTAAGTTCTGGTATCTTCAGTTTTCTATCAATAACACACTGCAGTTTTATTGCAGTAATATACTTTCAACTTCAATTATTGAAAAAATTGAGAGGAATTTTCAGAAATTGTCAGTTATTCAACTGAGCAGTATTGTTAAAAAGATGTAAAGAGGAAGATCATATCCCCAACAAAGCAATATGAAATCTTAAATTCTTACTTAATGGCAATGACAAAAGATGAGTTGTTATACAGATCAAGCAGGATCATAAACTTAGTACTCTGTGTCTAAAGCAAACCAGCCAATTTAAAACTAGAAAGTTAGTCAATCCAGAGACAATTTGTAGAATATTGAGAAGGCATAGTTTCCATGAAACAATAGCTAGAAAAAAACCCCACACTCCATAACTGTCAGCAAAAATATTTTACTGCCAGTTAAGGTAATGGCAGTTCCATTAGCCTTGGGTAATCTGCTTCGGATATTGGAAATTTTAGTATTTGTAGATTCAGATATTGACCAATATATGTATTTTTAAATATTTGTTTTGCTAGTTTTCAAGTTTTTTACTTCAAATATGGACTTCTTAAACAGTTCCAAATTTTACTGAACAATGATCCAAAACACAAGGTGCTTAATGTTAGCTTGTGGCTACTTTTAAACTGTCCAAAATAGTGCAGTAGATACATATGCACAGTCTTAATGTCATTGAACATTTATGACATGAACAGGAGTTATGCATGCAAAAACAAAATTAGTAATGCCAATGAGTTGAAAGAGAAACTGCAAAATGGAAAATGTTCCAATATTTATGTAAAAAAACTTTTCTCTGTACCAAACAGATTTGAAAGGTGATTTTAAAATGCAAGGAATATTCAATAAAACAGGGACAAATTTAAAAGTAATATAAAATACTTCTTATGACATTTAATATGCCAACTTACATAAATGAACATACATGTAATTTGAAATTTCCACTCTAGTACAGTTTGATGCCATTTTATTTTGTTCCATTTAGTATAATAAAAATTCAGTTTAGAAGATCTTTAGTTAATAAATTAATTTAAANGATTTAATTTTTAACTTAACACAAAATATATATATTAATCAGGGAATTCATTTGCAAAGATGCTAAGGGAGTTCTTGTTTGCATCACTGAAAATTTTCATATTTTAAATATAATTAATAAAAGAAAAAAAGAATTTAGATAATCACTTAACCAGATTCATTTGTATTGAATCTGGTTAAGTTACAAATGAATAAGTGAAGAAAAACTGCTCTATTTACTAATTGTAAATTATAAAGATTATTAATAGTAGTAATGCTTTTCTATTCAAAATTAGAGAAATTTGAATATATTTAATTATTTATTCTGCATTACTTAATGTAATTTAAGATTTATACTTTGCCATTTAAAGATTCTAGACCAAATTCTTTAGATTTGAAATCAAATGAAATGGACTCACTAATAATAATATTTTGTATTCCATTATGAATTAAGAATAAAATCTCACCACACTGATATATAGAAAGCTTTTCTTTGTCATCTTACTTCCTAGTAAATAATGGTTTTAATTTTTTTTAAATAATAGGATTCTGAAATAGATGAATTTTGAGAGGATACAATGTAATGCATTAACAATCATATGTACAGTACTATACATACTGTACATTCCTAAATACATCAATACACACATTTTCAAATAAGACAGTTTATGCCATCATATTCTATCATTTGATAAATTTTTGCCAATATCATCTCTATTAATCATCTATAACTTTAGTTCAATTTTTTTAAAAATTTTTTATGCTTTGTGAAAATATCATTCCAGATGCTTATAAAGCAAAACTTTCAAAAAGTATGAGAGACAAGATCATAATGTTGTTCTAGGAAATAAAACAGTCAAAAATAAAAGTTCAAGTTTGATACTGATGTGATATTTTGCAAGGAAATGGTGTGATCTGCATACTGATATTTCACATTTTCCTTGTGAATTTTCTGTTCACATCAAATTTTTAAATTTAAACTAGAAATATTTTCCCAATATATTTTTAATATTTGAATATCTATACTTTAATTTTAAATAAAGTTCAAAATCAAACTTAATTTTATCAAGGAAATCAGTAAATAAATTTTTTCTTTGCTGAAGTTTTTATAAAATCTATATTTAAAGAGAGTAAAATTAAATATTGTAGTTCAGCTAAATTAAAAAAAAATGTTAATCAGGTATATGTGCTATGTTCTAAGATAACTTAAAATTCACTTTGTTTTTTTTTACTTAAGAAAAAAAAACAAATTGTTATTAAAATAAGATGATAATTAAAAACAGAATTACTATTCTATGGTATCTTCAGTTTTCTATCAATAACACACTGCAGTTTTATTGCAGTAATATACTTTCAACTTCAATTATTGAAAAAATTGAGAGGAATTTTCAGAAATTGTCAGTTATTCAACTGAGCAGTATTGTTAAAAAGATGTAAAGAGGAAGATCATATCCCCAACAAAGCAATATGAAATCTTAAATTCTTACTTAATGGCAATGACAAAAGATGAGTTGTTATACAGATCAAGCAGGATCATAAACTTAGTACTCTGTGTCTAAAGCAAACCAGCCAATTTAAAACTAGAAAGTTAGTCAATCCAGAGACAATTTGTAGAATATTGAGAAGGCATAGTTTCCATGAAACAATAGCTAGAAAAAAACCCCACACTCCATAACTGTCAGCAAAAATATTTTACTGCCAGTTAAGGTAATGGCAGTTCCATTAGCCTTGGGTAATCTGCTTCGGATATTGGAAATTTTAGTATTTGTAGATTCAGATATTGACCAATATATGTATTTTTAAATATTTGTTTTGCTAGTTTTCAAGTTTTTTACTTCAAATATGGACTTCTTAAACAGTTCCAAATTTTACTGAACAATGATCCAAAACACAAGGTGCTTAATGTTAGCTTGTGGCTACTTTTAAACTGTCCAAAATAGTGCAGTAGATACATATGCACAGTCTTAATGTCATTGAACATTTATGACATGAACAGGAGTTATGCATGCAAAAACAAAATTAGTAATGCCAATGAGTTGAAAGAGAAACTGCAAAATGGAAAATGTTCCAATATTTATGTAAAAAAACTTTTCTCTGTACCAAACAGATTTGAAAGGTGATTTTAAAATGCAAGGAATATTCAATAAAACAGGGACAAATTTAAAAGTAATATAAAATACTTCTTATGACATTTAATATGCCAACTTACATAAATGAACATACATGTAATTTGAAATTTCCACTCTAGTACAGTTTGATGCCATTTTATTTTGTTCCATTTAGTATAATAAAAATTCAGTTTAGAAGATCTTTAGTTAATAAATTAATTTAAAAACATTTTGAAATATTAAGCATCTTTTTAAATAAAAAAAAATAAAAATAATTTTTAAATATATATAGTCCAGTGATATTTGCGAAA